TAATGATGCAGATTGAAAAATTTTGTGAATGTAATTGTTCCTAACAACTTGAAATTGTTTCTTCTATAAATTTATGTAAACCATACAACCCTGAACATTGTGGCTGGGCATGTTGCAGTATTATGAGGGGGTTTCAATGGCTCAAGATAAGTGAAAGAATTTTCAGATGTGGTTGTGGCACTTGCTGCTATCTTTTATAACTTTTAACTATTCTGGCTGCCTATGTTGCATGAAGATAGATGATCGATACTCTGTAATTACTTTACTACGTGATGTCGAATTCTTGACTAGATGAGCATCTAGGTGCCTAGGTTATTTTTTTCTGGGTAATGAGATTAATCAGGTAGATGCATTTGATTAGGTGGTCTTGGTATCTCCAAGCATTTTACTTTACTTTCAACAGAGCTGATGTTTCCATGCATGTGATTTGCCAACTCATTTCCCTTGTTCTCTGGCTTGTTGTCAACTTTATGATGCAGCACTTCCAGTGGACAAAACTCTTCGGTGGACATAAATGGCATTTTGTTAAGGTATACATCTATTGGCTTTCCGTTTCTTATGTTACTTAACATCATTAACCCATATAACTTTAGTTGAAGTTTAAGTTGGATCAGATGGGAACCAGATAATGTCATTAATGAAGGACATCCACAAAATTGACTTGGATTGGTTTATATTCTTCATCTGGCGAACCAGCTTGCAATTCTTACTTTGGTTAATTTAACTTTTTGCTTTTATACTCACCAGGCCCACATCCTTAGCTTTGGTCAATGGAGTATGTGATAGCTCTTTGAAGCTCAAGGTTAGCATTTAAATTATTAAATTGTAATACACAGAATTATTTTGGATTAAGACTGTATTCTGAGGTGTTTTGTCATTTTGCAGATGCAAATTGGTGTACGAAATTTCTCATCTTCAGGTATACATCATGGTTGTGTCATGTGCAGTTTTTCCCTACAATAACATGTATCCCTAACGATTTTATAGTTGCGGATTAAAGGAGCTACATAATTTTACTGCAGTTTCCTCAGAGCATACAAAGCCTGTAAAGTCTTGTATAATATACCGGGGTTGTAAGAAACATACTTATCTACTGTTAGAACAAGTTGCATGTCTTTAACACATCCATGTAGAGAAAGGAAGTTAGAACTGGAAATTACCGTATCATATATGCTAGTGGTTATCAAGTTCCAATATTAGTAATATTGCTTAGGNTTGAATAATATATAATAAATTTAAAATTTTTTTTTTCTTCCGTCCAGAAAAGCATATAAACATGATAATATTGAAAGTTGACTTGTTCATTCCTCCTTTAAATAGTTAAAGAATAGCGGAAATATCTCAAAATAAGGTGCAAACAAATGCAATTGCAAATTTGCAACTATAAATTCTTGAAGAGATGGGAGACGTAGACAAAAGAAAAAAAAAAATAAAGCATTGTGGAGCCAAGCCATTGAAAAAACAATGGCGGCCTGCGCTTCCAAAGTTCTCTTTGTTCTTGCTCTCTTGTTTGTTTCTACGTACGCGGAGAGCAGAAGAAAGACTCATAACAAGGAGGAGGACTTGTTTCAAGAACTTAATGATGCAGGTCTCAATAAAAAACAAAAGTACTCCGATGGCAAAGCATTGGGAAAGAATACAATTTTGAAGGCGAAATCTGAAAGAAAATTAGCAGAGAGCGCACAATCAGTAGAATTACCAGCCGGAGTATTCAATGGAAAATGGGAGCTGGCATCTACGAGTTCTGGTGTCTCAGCTATGCACGCTATCTTGCTTCCCAAAACCAGCAAGGTCTTGATGTACGATGCCACAATTTGGAAGCAATCAACAATTGAATTGAGCCCTGAACAGCGGCCTTGCCGTATGGTGGATGAAAAAACCCAAGAAGTTGATTGTTTTGCACATTCAGTCCTGTTTGACCCTAAGACAGCACAACTCAGAACACTCAAGGTATGGCACTATGGCTTATATATGCTCCCTCTCTTTTTAATTAATAATCATTACAAATACATTTACATTTGATTAATTTATTTTTTGTTTTTTCTCTGTCCAGCTTACTACGGATACATGGTGCTCATCAGGAGGACTCTCAGTGAACGGAAACTTGGTTAGCTCAGGGGGTGACAAAGGAGGAGCACCCACTGTGCGATATCTTGAGTCATGTGATACTTGTGACTGGAAAGAATACCCCAATTCACTTGCAGATGGGAGATGGTAATAATATTATCTATATATACATTTTCAAATTATTTTGCGCTAATTCTAATATAATATGTTATTGAATTAGGTATGCAACGCAGGTGACTTTAGACGATGGTGCGTTCATAGTGGCCGGTGGGCGTGAAGTCTATAGCTACGAATACATTCCACCGCCGGGGCAAACAAATAAGATTTCAATTCCCTTCGACTTTCTCAAACAAACCAGAGATGTAATACCTGGCAACGAAAAAGAAGGCGAATTTGTACTTGAGAATAATTTATATCCTTTTCTCCACCTTGCTCCCGATGGTAACGTTTTCTTTTTTGCCAATAACCGTTCCGTCTTGCTCAACCCAAGAACAAACCAAATTCTCCGAGAGTATCCAGTTCTGCCAGGTGGTAGCCGTAGCTACCCCGCATCAGGAGCCTCCGCTCTCCTCCCCATAAAACTTGACCCTGTTAACACTAACAACGTCAAGGTTGAAGTCCTCATTTGCGGGGGAGCACCACACGATGCATATAAAGTTACGGACATGATTAAGAAAAGACCTTTTCCATTTGCACTCAAAGATTGTGGAAGAATGGATATCACGGCTCGTGATCCAGTTTGGGAAAAGGAAGAAATGCCAAGTCCTCGCACGATGGCCGATATGTTGAATCTTCCCAATAACGATATGCTAATCATTAATGGTGCCGAAAGAGGTTGTTCCGGATGGAATGATGCCACTGATCCCAATTTTACCCCAGTATTATATTCTCCAAGCGCACCCAATGGCAAAAGGTTTAAGGAGTTAGCCAAAACAGACATTCCAAGAATGTACCATTCAGTTGCTACTGTTCTTCCCGACGGAAAAATTCTTGTTGCAGGGAGCAACACTAATAATGGATATGTCTTTAAACCTCAGGCTGAGTTCCCAACTGAGCTGAGGGTCGAGAAATTCTATCCTCCTTATTTGGATCCATCATTGGATGCGATGAGACCGGAAATTGTGTTAGAACTGAGCAATCAGACTGTCGCATATAATGGCCAGATTCTCATCACGTTTGGATTAAACCAGGAGGGTATATTGAAGAAAGACATTCAGGTCACAATGTATTCGCCAGCTTTTACTACCCATGGTATTAACATGAATCAGAGGCAAATTGACGTTGGAATCTTGGAGGTGCGTGATAACATTGCTGATAAAAGACTTCACACCGTTATTGCTACTGCACCCCCATCAGGCGCCATTGCTCCTCCTGGGTATTATCTTACTTTTGTTGTTTATAAAGGAGTGCCCAGCAGTCTTTCAATGTGGCTTCAAATCAAGTAAAAAGCTTGTCTATCTTCTTTACTTGTGTATTCTTTATGAATTAAGTAGTTTTGTGATACTATATTCATTTGGCATGAAGAGGCCTTATACGTGTAAGATTCTTTTTGAGAAAAAAAAAAATCTCTCTTTCTTGTTCACTCCAATTTTTTGGATAAATGAGGTAATTGTATAAAGAATCAAAGAATACAACCTAAGAGACAGAGAGTTTCTTGTTCACTCCATTATTTTTGTAATAAATTAATTCTTTCAATTGTATTTGTATTTACTTTTACTATCATTTTGCATGAGTATATGATAATGATACGATGATTAACATTTTCTTGTGCGCTACGAATAAATATCAACCAATCTATTGAAAAAGAAAGAATTTTTTTGGACAAAATTATCCTTCAATTTAAAAAAAAAAAATTCATAATTTCCATTTTTATTAATATTATATGTTTAATTTATGGATATGTACAACTTTACACATAATAATGTAAAATATATAAATTTAAACAAATATAAAGTATACTTCTTTAATTAATATAACAATAAAAATATTTTAGAATATAATAGAAATGACAATTATTGAAAAATAAAACAAAAATGACACTATTAACGACAAAGCTATTAGACTTAACTATGATTAGGGGTGTATCTATCTTTCCCTTCTTAGATCCAATCATAAATTTTATAATCTTTAAAGAATCCTATAACGGCTGTACAAGTATAAACATAAACCGCTTATTGACCCTGTGTAACTGTGACCTCAAGCTGCAATCTCAAGCTACCAAGCTGCGACCTCGAGCTGCAATTTCTATTGTTGAAGTGGTAGCCAACTCCAACAATTAAGTAATTAACAACTGAACAAATGGCAAAAGCTTCGTAAAGAAATTTGTTAATCAACAAAACCCATTAATCGCCTAGCCAATGCACAGCAAACAATGACAAGGAACAATAAAACGCTTAAGAGATCTAGCGAAGCCTTTTATTAACAGCATCAACGACAAATTGCCTTTATGTATTTGAAAAAAAGCTAGCTAAAATCTGCAAAATTTCTTCAAGATGAAAAACAAATTAACTCTATTTTAGCTCATTCTTCAACCATCTTTTTGCAAACTTAAGTTCTTAGAGAGATGGAAACTAATACAGAGGAAGCAAGAGAATATTATAAATAGAAAGAGTGTTTTTATGAGAATCAATTGTGTATTCAAAGAAGCAAAATCACTATAGATATAATGACAATCTATTGGACGAAGATCTCTAGCTATATATTTGTCTTCCTATTTTAGCTGGTTAAATATTTGTATCTTTATCCTGGCCTTAATTTATTCTGTCAAATATTTATATTCCTTTTTAGTATCCTTGATTTAAGGACCTCTTTTGTATATAAACGTATTATGTATCAATGATAATGGCAAGAGAGAAAATTGCAGCAGACCTCTCCTACTTTTCTCATGGTATCAGAGCGGTTGGAATCCTAGAATATTTCTTCACCTTCTCATCATGACTGAAGAAAGCCCTTTGAATTCTAGTACATCAAAAACTAGCCAATCAAATATGACTCAAACCAATTTTGATGTCTCATCACCCTATGCTCTTCGTGCCTCTGACAATCCAGGCACAACTTTAGTAACATGCCTCCTCAAAGAAGACAATTACCCCACATGGCGTCGTGCCATGACAAATGCACTCCAGGCCAAAAATAAATTTGGCTTTGTAGATGGATCTGTCAAACGCCCATCACCTGGTTCCATAGAAGAACCTGCATGGATTAAATGCAACTCTATGGTAATTTCTTGGATTTTTAATTCTCTTCACCCTACCCTACATAATAGTGCCGCATACTTTATTATGACACAAGAGATGTGGAAGGACCTTGAAGAAAGATTCTCTCAAGACAACGCTCCTCGCAATTATCAGATGAAGACTGAGATGGTGAATACCTTGCAACAAGGCATGTCTGTTTTAGCATATTACACAAAATTAAAGGGAATTTGGGATGAGCTGAACACATACTCGCAAATTCCAATGTGTACTTGTGGGTCTGCACAGGCTTTTGCTGTAGAAAGGGAGAAAGAAAAAGTGCATCAGTTTCTAATGGGCCTGAATGAAAAATACAATACGGTACGATCTCAAATTTTGAACATTGAACCACTACTCTCTTTGTCTCGTGTTTATGGACTTGTAGCACAAGAGGAATGACAACAGTTGGTGACAACATCACGATTACCTTCTGTTGAGGCAGCAGCATTTTTTTCTAGCAATGGGAACAAAATCTACAACAATCACAGGTCTGCAAACAATCGTGACTTATCCAAATTATTTTGTGAACATTGCAAGAAGACAAGACACACAGAGAGACTTGTTTTGAGCTGAACAGATATCCTGAATGGTGGGACAAAGGAAAGAAATCATCCAAGCCCAACGAAACAAATAGCTCACAGCGTATGGAACCTGTTGAAGGTAACACTATACCAATTAATGGGCTGATTGCAGAACAATATGCTCAATTAATCTCTATGCTTAATCTTGAAAAGACTCACAATTCTACGGCTAATTTTTCGGGTAAGGCTGCTCCTCTATCCAACTGTACAATTGAATGGATTTTGGATTCAGATGCTTCTGATCATATGACATGTCATGCAAGTGTCATTGCTTCTCCCAAAGCTGTACCCAATTTTTCACCAATTACCATTCCAAATGGGTCACTCATTCCAGCAAAATCTTATGGAAATGTTTAGTCCATCTGTTATCTTGAATAATGTTCTTTATATACCTTCATTTACATGTAATCTTATATCTATCAGCAAATTAACCAAAGCCTTACACTGCGTTGCTCATTTTTTCCCTTCCTTCTGTGCTTTACAGGACTTAGCCACGAGGAAACTGATTAGAATGGGTGAATTGCGAGGTGGACTCTATTATTTTCGAGCAATCAAAATTCCTATTGCAGCAACCAGCATCACTCATGATTCTAAGCTAAATTTGTGGCATCAACGTCTTGGGCATTTATCCTTTGATAGATTATCTCCTTAGTATCGATTTAGTCAGTTTTCTTTTCTGTTAAGTCTTTTAATAAGTGTTGTGACTCTTGTCATCGAGCAAAACTCTCAAACCCCTTTTCCAGTTAGTTCAATTAAAACTCATGAATCTTTTGAATTAATTCATTGTGATTGTTTGGGTCCATATCATACTGCTTCTTTGTCTGTGCCCATTATTTCTTACATTGTGGATGATTACACCAGAGTCACTTGGGTTTATTTGCTTAGAACCAAATCTAAAGTTTTTCTTAGACTGCTTTCCTTCATGACTATGGTAACTAGACAATTTGGAAAGTGTTAAACAAATTCGTAGTGAAAATGGCACCGAATTTACGAATCATAATTCCAACTCTTTTGTCAACAAAATGGGATTTTAACTCAGTTTTCTTGCATTTCCACCCTCAACAAAATGGAGTAGTGACACATACTTGAGGTTGCTAGAGCCTTGCGGTTTCAAGCCAATTTGCCTATTAAATTCTGGGGTGAGTGTATTTTACCAGCGACATACTTAATAATTACACCCCACACCTCTTTTATCTAGCCGAAGTCCTTATGAACTTTTATTTTCTAAAAAGCCCATTATTCTCATCTTCGTGTTTTTTGATGCCTTTGCTACTCTTATGTCCTTCCCTCGATCAAGGAAAGTTCCATGAACGTGCCACTGCTTGCATGTTTATTGGATACCCTCATGGCCAAAAGGCGTATAAGGTATACAACTTAGTCACTCATAAAACTTCACTTCTAGGGATTTGACCTTCTATGAACATATTTCCCTTTTCACAAATCATTTTCACCCTCTCCAGAACATAGTGCCCTTTAACCACACCTGTCCCTTTACCTTTCTGATCCTGAACCGCATCCCTTAAATCATCTCTGCCACCCATCATATCCCCTCCTATAGAAACCCCTGAACCGAATCCTTCTACAGACATGACAGCTCTCCTTCATCTCTTATACCTGACCCAAACCCCGTGCAACCACAACAACTTCCTCCTCGCAACAGGAAATTACCATCTCACTTTCGTGACTCTATGTTGATTTGCCTGGAAATAATGGTTATTCTCCCACCTCTCAATCATACTTCCTCAGGTACGTCTTATCCTTTAACCTCTTTCCTCTCATATTCCAGTTCAATCTTCACATACTCATTTTTTTATGGCCATCACCCAAGATGATGAGCCGAAATCTTATAAACAGCCATTAAAGACACTTGCTGGCAAGAACAATGAATAAGGAATTACAAGCACTTGAACAAAATTGTACAGGACTTTAAAGCCACTACCCGCTGAAAAGGCTATTAGATCAAAATGGGTCTACAGATCAAGTATCATTCTGATGGGACAATCGACCGCTACAAGGCTCGTTGGTTGCTAAGGCTATACACAAATTGAGGACTTGATTACACTGAAACCCTTGCACCTGTAGCCAACTACAACGGTTTGAACACTATTATCGGTAGCAGTCAGCAAAATCATGGGATTTGCATCAACTTGATGTTCACAACGCCTTTTGCATGGTGACCTTGATGAGGTAGTATACATGACGCCACCTCCTGGTTACTTATCCCCGGGTGATGATCGTATGTCGGCTTCAAAAATCTCTTTATGGTCTAAAACAGGCATCGCGCCAATGGTATGCTAAATTTTCTACTTCCCTTCTTCGCTTTGGCTTTACTCAATCTAAGGCAAACACATCTCTTTTCTATACCCAAGGGCAGTTCCTTCATGGCATTACTGTGTATGTGGATGATGTTATTATTGCTAGCAATGACAGTCATCATACTACTGCCTCAAAGCATACTTGATGCCTATTTTCACATTAAAGATCTTGGTGCTCTCAGTACTTTCTTGGTTTGGAGGTAGCTCGATTCCTGATGGCATAGTTTTGTCCCAACGAAAATATACTTTGATATTCTACAAGAATCAGGCATGCTTGTTCCAAACCAGCCACTTTTCCAATGGAGCAAAATCACACATTGGGAACGGATACTAGTGATCTTCTTGCTGATCCTGGTCCTTATCGTCTCTTGGTTGCAGGCTCATATCCTTGACTATCACCCGACCAGAACTTTGCTATTCAGTACATATTCTGTCTCAATTCATGCATCAACCTCGCCATCGACATTGGGTAGTTGCTCTTCGCCATCTACGCTACCTCAAGTCTGCTCCAGGCCAAGGCATTTTCTTTCCTCTAAGTCTAATTTACGATTTAATGCCTATTATGATTCCGACTAGGCCGGTTGTCCTCTTACACGCCGTTCTATTACTGGTTATCTTATTTTTTGGTCACTCTCCCATCGCCTGAAAACCAAGAAACAAACTATTGTTTCTCGTTCTTCCGCCGAAGCTGAATATCGCTCTATGGCTACACGTCGGTGAACTTATTTGGCTTCAACCTTACTTCATGATTTACAAATCACTCATTCTTTGCCAGCCCACGTCCATTGTGACAATCGTGCTGCCATTCATATTGCCGCCAATCCTGTTTATCATGAGCGAATGAAGCATATTGAATTGACGTCATTTCATTAGGGATTGCATTAAATCTGGCTCCATCACTACGTCACATGTTCCATCTCATCTTCAACTGTGCTGATCTCTTTTTAAGCTCTCGATCATCAGCAATTTCATTTCTTGTTCGCAAGTTGGGCATTCGAAATCTCCATGCTCCCTTGAGGGGGCGTATTGGACGAAGATCTCCAACTGTATATTTGTCTTTCTATTTTAGCTGGTCAAATATTTGTATCTTTTCCTAGCCTTAATTTATTCTGTCAAATATTAATATTCCTTTTAGTTTCCTTGATTTAAGGACCTCTTTTGTATATAAACGTATTCTGTATCAATGATATGGCAAGAGAGAAAATTACAGCAGACCTCTCCTACTTTCTCACAATCATTCGCAAAGTCCTTTATTGTCTATTGTTCGCTTCAGGTACACAGCTCCCCTTGGCTTACCGGATTTTGTTGGTAAATGGGAGTTGGTATCGGAAAATCTGGTGTCTCTGCCATGCATGGGATCTTGCTTCCAAAAATAGATAAAGTTTTGATGTATCTATGATGCTCTGGAGGACATCAAAGATTCCACTACCTCCTGAAAAAATGCCTTTGACGAGACACTATGAACTAGACGTTGGTGCGATTCAGTTTTATTTGATTATGATACAGCAAAACTGACAGCACTTAGTAAATTCATTAATTCACGTAATAATATGTGGATAGTAAATTAATTTAATCTTTTTAGGTTTCTTTTATCTTTTGTTATTGTCTATAACAGACTGAGCACGACACATGGTGCTCATTACATTAGGAGGCCTCACAGTGGATTGAAACTTGGTAGGAGCAGGAGATCACCGAAAGAGCCAACACTGTGAGATCTCTCTGTACATGTGAAAAATTGGATTGAAGGAATACTCGGCATCGTTTGTAGATCCTAAATGATACATATACTTATTTAAATTTAATCAATAAATTGATGTTATGGATTGGAATAATTAAATAGTTTTTTCTTTTTCTTTTTTTTTTATCACTCGAGGTATTCAACACAATAACCTTACCTATGGTGGTTTCATGGTGTTTGGTGGACGTTTGTCCTTTATTTCCAATAAAACCCCACATTCCTTCCTTCCTTAAAGCAAGTCAAGATCACTCAATGCTCAAACACCATTTACTTTAGAAATAACTTGTACCCCTTTGTTCACCTTCCCCCCTATGGCAATCTTTTTTTATTTCTCAATAACATTCAATCTTGCTTGACCCAAAAACTAACCAATTAAGTTGTTACAGAGTTCCAGTTATCCCTGGTGGCTCTCGCAGTTACCTTGCATCAGGAATGTCTTTCCTCCTCCCATTAAGACTTAAACGGCAAACTGAGAAAGATCACAACGGCGTTAGCGTTGAGGTGTTTGTGAACAATATTAAAAGTTCTGATAAAAATCGGGAAAGTTACCATCTGAGTGGTAACAACTCAAACCCTGGGGGTAATTTTGATAATATTTCCAACTTAAAAGTGTTGTTACTAGTTATCTGATTATGTATAAATTTGATTAGAAAATTATTTAAAATCTTTTAATAATTAACACTCCACTGTAATTTTTTTTTTTTTTTTAAGAATATCTCGAAATCTTTCTCCATCACTTTAAGCATTTAAATTCATAGAAGAAGA